TCTAACTCTTCATCCAGGTCATTGATGAAGAAGTTGAAGAAGGCTGGGCCCAGTACTGACCCCTGGGGGACACCACTTGTTACCGGCCTCCAACTAGACTCAGCGCCGCTGATGACAACCCTCTGAGTTCTGCCATTCAGCCAGTTCTCAATCCACCTCACCGACCACTCATCCAGCCCACACTTCTTGAGCTTCCCTAGGAGGATGTTATGGGAGACAGTGTCGAAAGCCTTGCTGAAGTCAAGGTAGACAACATCCATTGCTCTCCCTTCATCTACCTGAAAATGTAAGTGAGAATGGCTTTGCAGGTCCTTTGAGAACTAAAGAAGCAGCAACGGTGGTGGGAGCTTGAAGTAACTACTTGATCAGAAGGTGTGGCAGCTTTGTACCAGCTGCTGTTTCCTTTTTTAAAGGAATGGAACTGTTTGTTGTGCTCACCAGCTGATAGGTGATAGCTGATAGGTGATCAGATAGGTAATCTGATTTGTTGTAAATGAACATCTTCCACTTTGGGATAAACACAGGGTAGAAAAACAAAGTGCTGGCTGAGCAGACACTAAACATCACATGAGACACCATAAAGCTTCTGTGAGATACAATATGAGATCATGTGTCACGGTGTAGCTCACACAGGCACAGCCCAAAGCAGGGTGAGACAGGAGACCCAGCACTTTCAGGACTCCTGGCCAGTCAGAAATCAAAACTCTCTCCTCTAAGTGGACGACACAAGGCTCCAAGCACCCCACTGAAAGTGCCTGTGAAGACCTTCCCCTTCCAGAGCTACAGGGATGGTCTATATCTGGAGCCTTCCTCATCCCATGAAACATGACTCTCTCTTTCAGGATTTGCATAAATGACCTACAGCATCTAGATACATGCAGTATACAAGAAAGTTTTATTGCATTGACTCCAGAAGTCCTACAGCTCCCCAGGTCTGCGGTAGTGAAACAAAAATTCCACAGTAGGTAGGAAGAAACTGTCTCATAGGCTATGGCTGAAAATTCTCACAATCATTTGTTGTTACCCGTTCGTAACCTGCCTCCTTGAATATCACGCAACAATATCTGCAATAAACTCATTATTGCAATAAAGATTTGAGCCTGAGCCTATATTTTCAATGCTCCCCTGTTCTGATTTGGTCACTGTGTGCCATAGAACTTCTACAACAAATCTAGGCAAGGCCTGATTAATTACTCCATTGTTGAAAATATTCGGAAACATAGTTAGTAATGTTCCAAAAAAGGTAGCATTCACAGACAAGTTAAGTTCTGATTATGGAGTTTGCTATGGCCTGTCAAAAACCAGTGGGTATACTCTCCAAGAGAAAATCCATAGGCTAATTCTAAAGATTACTTTTTGCATCGGCTGTAGCAATATTTAGACTTCAAATCTGTTAGTAGCAAGTGTCTCTGAATTTCATATGTCTGAGTATATTTGAGAACTGAGTATAGGTGTTGCTGCATAGCTTTGACCACAGACGCTTTTGAAAACCTGTCAATAAAAACTGCTGGAATAGAGAAGAGAATAACAGTAAAGGAATCAGAGTATGATTCTACCTGCAGATAACGCAGGAGATTTCTTATATGCCTATATCCTTTTTCAATATTACACAATTTTGATTCCTTTCACTTTATGTACTAAATTAATTGATTATACCACATTACAAGCTAGCAAATTATGCTTTTTCAAAGGACTATTAAAAGTATAAAGGCCGTTAAATGATGTGTTAAAGATAGAGGAGACCAAAATCCGAGGAAAGATGAAAACTCATGAGAAGTATATTTTCCCCTCAAACTTTTAACAGGGAGTTATGAACAGTGTTTTTATTCTTTGTTATTTGGGTTTTTTTTAAAGACAATCAAATATAGGTCTAATTCATACTCTAACAAAGTGTCTAAACCATTGCGAATTGCAACATGCAGCGAATGCAGCAGTTCAGTGTGCGCTCTGGAGATCACAGTGGTGAAGGAATGGTGCAGGAAGTTTCTGTTTCCTTCCTTAAATTATGTTTAAGATTACAAATTAATCTCAAAAGAGATTATGAGTATCTCAAAGAGTTAATGAGTATCTTACAACTGCCTATTTCTCTTAGTTGTCCAAAGGCCAGTTGATTGTGAAGTGTATAAAACACCAATGCATGAAGATGAGAAACACAGCCAAGATATAGCCAGCAAACAAACATCAGACAGAAACCAAGGGCTGTGTCTGCTGGGAAAGATGCCAAAAAGTGTTTCTACCTTCATTCGTCTTTTTGTGCTCCTACTCGGTTTCTCCACTATTTGTCTGGGAGTCCTTTGTGTTTCTGCAGCTTCCTCCACGTGCAGATGTAGAAACAACGAGCTGCTGTTTTATTGCCTGTTTGCTTTGGGAATCTTTCTCCTTGTGACTGGCATTTTCTGGAGCACTTTCCATGAAGTCTTGAAGTGCAGGGACTTCAGCAGCACCTTCGTTCGAAATCCCAGCCGTAGAGAGCAATGTGTCAGCACCATAGACAGGTATGTGTTGCAGACTGCTGCTGATGAATTGGGAGGGAAGTACACTGTTCGGTAAACAAGCTGTGAGAAAAAAGCAACAATACAAAGTTTTTAGCAAATAAAAGTATGTAGGAATTTTATTATATTTCTGTGGAGGGAACTGTAGTCTGAAATGTGATTTGCTACAGCAGGTAGCAGCGTGCAAAAGCAATTTGTACAAACAATACATAAGGCAAGGTACACTACAGGAAACGTGGCAGGTTGCACAGAGTGGTCCAAGGCCGTGCGTGGAGGGAGCAGGCACAGCTACACTGACTTCACGGAGCTCCTGCAGGAGCATCACTGGTTCCATCTCAACAGACAGTTCCAGACGTGCTGCTATGGGATATGTGCTCATACTGCTTGTTACCTATGAGGTATGCAGGGAGCTTCGGCTCCCGATATGGTCCCTGCTGAAGGTTTCTTGGGTAATTGTCCCTGCTATTTCTGAGCAAAGCCTGATGCTTTGAGAGAGAGAGTTTCTTAAACTGATTGGTGCTCGGCCTGACAAAAGTCTTCAGCAGCGCCGCTGGATACAAATTACTTTTCTCAGACTGTTGTGGAAACTGCACCAACAATGGGTGCTCTAAAAGCACTATAAAAACAACATTCAGCACATTTTTGTTAGATAAGCAGAAACAGGCAAAATGTATTTTAAAGCTGTGGAAAACAACGACTATTGTATTTAACTTACTTCGGACAGTGATCTCTTTCTTTTTCCAAACCAAACTTATCTCGGGCAGTCATCGAAACACTCACAGGCATTAGTGTTTGTACACCATGGGTGGGAACTCTCATGGGGGAGGCTTGTCTTTTTAGAATGATTTGTTTTAATACAGCATTTTGCAGAAAGACATGGGTAATGGTCCCAGCTATGGCAGCTGGTTTATATTAGTGTATTTCATTGATCTAAACTTACTTGGGTTTCCATTTACAGTTTAAGCCTCATCTAAACTTTGAAAACATAACGGACAAAGCATCTAACCAAGCTCACTGAGATAAATCACATTTCATCATGAGGTGTTTCTTTCTGGCTTGTTTTTTTTCAGGCCTGACTTCTATCCCCCCTCCTATGAAGACATCACAGATCCCGAAAAACAGACCTCCCCACTGCCTGTTGCCTCCACACTGAAACAGCAAGAAGTCTTCAACATCCCTCCACCTCCATATAGTGAAAGCAGCATAGAGTTCGTCAGTGAAACTAACGAACAGGAACAGCCACCACCCTACCAATTATCTGTGCAGCAGCTACAGCAGCAGCCAACAGCTGACCAAGACTCAAACCCTCGAACGGAGTCAAATTCTCATCCATCCATACAAGAAAACAGTTACCAACAGGATACAGATTGCCAGGGCACCTCAGGAAGAGCAGCGCCTGTCAGAACATACGAGTCAGGCAGGGGGTAAAATCCTACATCTGTGAAGGGGGAGAATCTGGAAGAAGATGTGTGTCAGTGATCCCTAATAGTGCACCACTTAGGGTTAAACTGTCCAGGGGAAGCATTGACCACTTGTGTGTTTGAGTGGAGTTGGAGGGGATATATATAAAGGTGCTCAGCATTTCAAAACAGAATGAATCTCCATAGAGATAGCAACGATCAGGTTATATCTTACAAAAGTCAACGTCACTGCAACAGGAGTTTCTTATGCTGCAAGATAAATGAAGCATCCTGCTGTTACCAGTCTTCCATGTCTGTTGCCTCATAAGCAATTTCGGCTAAAAGTCCCCATTTGTGGTTTTGTAACATTAGCTAACCTATTAACTCCACCTTTTTCTGGAATTTGTAAATTATTTGTTGTAACTGATTATATTTGTATCATACCTTTCAAGTCCCGTCTTTTATTTTGGGGTACTAATAGCTGGTGTTTTACTATTGAATTAATGAATAAATTTTGTATTTAAAACAAATGTCTTCTATTTGCCTACATGATACAAAGTGTTCATGATTCAGGATAAGCACACAATACAGTACACTTAATACTTTTCCTAGCTGCTAAACAGACAACCCTGGTGATGCCCACAGCTCCTCAGAGGGAGATAGCAATTGCAGGCCGAAAAACCTTCTCTGACTCCTCTGAGTTTATTGGCAATCAGGAAGTGCTAATCCTCTCTTCCTTTCCCTGAGTCCCAGGACAATCCTGCAGTGCCCCTTTTCAGCTCCAGCCTTCTGCAGATGTCGTGAGGTCTCTATGGACCCAGAAAAGTGAAACTGAAGATAACTGCACCTTCAACCTGCAATATGAAAGAAAGTACAGGAGACTTGAAGATAACTGAGATAATAAGAAAATTAAGGTTAATACTTAATATTTCATTTGATACAATCTGTTTTTCAGTTTGTCTTTACAGCTAATGAACTTCTTGGCTATAAACTTAATGGAAAATTGTGTGGGCAATTAGCTCAAAAATGTCAAAGCAGCAAAAGCTTTTAAACAGTTTGCTTTTGATCAAACTTACTAGCATGAAGTCATCTTTGCCAAGGTTAGTAGCTGGAAGTTTTAGATTAAAAGGAATTTTCTTTGGACTGGAGGATATGAACAGGTCAAACTATGGCTTCAGAACAGAACAGGTTCTTTCAGTGTGTTGACAGATACTTCTTGACCCAGGTGACTGAGGAGCCAACAAGAAGGTGTGTGGCTGTCCTGATGCAGTATCAGAAGAAATGTGGGCATGTGAAGGCGTTCGCTGCAGTGATCACGAGACGGAGGAGCTCAGGATCTTGTGAGGAGGGAGCACAGCAGAAAGTGGGACCAAAGTTAGCAGAGCAGACTTAGATCTCTTCAGAGATCTGCTTGGAAGAACCCCATAGGTTACGGCCCTGGAGAAAAGATGAGTCTGGCACAGCTGTTTGATAGTCACAAGGACCACTTTCTTCAAGTTCAGGAATGGTTCATTCTAACACGCAGAAATCAAACAAAGGCAGCAGGAGGCCTGCATGGATGACCAGGGAGCTCCTGACTAAATGATAAGTGGAAGCAGGGGCAGGTGACCCAGAACAAATACAGAGACACATCCAACCATGCAAGAATGAGATTAGGAAAGCCAAAGCCCAGCTGGAGTTGAATCTGGTGAGGAACATGAAGGGCAACAAGAAAGGTTTCTGCAGGTACATTCGGTGAAAGAAGACATGGAAAAGGCTACAGTGCTTAGTAGTTTCTTTGCCTCCATCTTTACTGGTAAAACCAGCCTTCAGGAATCCCAGCCCCTCAAGACCACAGGAAAATTCTGGAGCAAGGAAGACTTACCCTGGGTGGAGCAGGATCAGGTTAGGGAGCACTTAAACAAACTGGACATACACAAGTCCATGGGATGACTTGGGATACATGAATGGTGCGGCCATGCCATTGCAAGGCCACTCTCCATTATCTTTGGAAGATTGTGGTGACTGGGAGAGGTTCCTGAGCACAAGGACAGAGCAAATGTCACTCCTGTCTTTAATAGAAGGAGGATCTAGGGAGTTATGGGCTGGTCAGCCTCATCTCTGTCCCTGGACAGGTGATAGAGCAACTAATCCTGGAAACCCTTGATAAACCTGTGAAGTACAAGGTTACTGGGAGTAGTCAGCATGGATTTATGAAGGGGAAATAACGATTAACCAACTTGATGATGTTCTGCTATGAGATGACTAGCTCGGTTGATGAGGGGAGAGCAGCAGATCTTGGTTGTCCCAGCTTTAGTAAGGCTTTTGACAACATCTCCCAGAACACCCTCATAGACAAGCTGACAAAGTATGCTTTAGCTAAGTGGACAGTGAGGTGGATTGAAAAGTGGCTGAACTTGCTGTCCAAGTAAATGTTAGTGCAATCCTAGCTGAGCAACACGGGACTCCTGCAATTTCCAGACTTCATAAACTGCTATACCAGCAATAGCCACAGCAGGGTCTGGGTCTCTGCCACAGGGGCCAGACACTGTGATGAGACAAACAGTATCAAAAATAGCTTTTCCTCTGCTAGGCATTTGGTCTGTTTTTAGAAGACTTGCATCTTTTTACACGTTCATATATGTCACCCTTTTCCAAGCATTCACGTCTCATGCTAATACGTAAAAGACCTCAGCAAATAAGGCACACATTATGGTATCATGGCTACAGTCCTTCCCCAAACACATCAGATACAAAGATATACAGCGTACTTCAGCCTTACAAAGTTTTATTCATCTTCTTGCAGAGAAAAGCAATTAAGTGGTGGAAAATACCTGTTGTTGCATTTTATCAGCATCACCAGTCATCACAAAAAAGCGATGATGAGTGGATTTGGTGTTAGACCAGTTCTGGAAGCCTGCTGTTTCACAGCTATTCAAAACGACACACAAACAGCTCTTTTCTCCATTTCAGTACAGAGGCACAGGTATTGCTTCTGAAGCCCAGGACAAAGCCAGTACTGAGATTTCAAAATGCACGCTTTACTCACAAAGACTGCCTTCATGAAAGCAGACTGCCATCTACTGCAGCTAGCACTCTAGTGACTTTCAGATAAAAGCAAAAGCATGCTTCTTCACAGTCCTGATTCGTCTCTCATGAGTCTTCCCACCGCATCTTGAAAGACACCTGGCTTTTCTATGTCTTACTTTTCAAAGTGCAAGTTCCAGAAGCTTGGTAAACGGGACACTTGGTACTGTAACTAGCTAGTTCACCACGTGATCCAAAATTATTTCATTGTCAGAGAATGTGTAAGAGATTTTAGAAGTTCTTGGACTGCCTTTCAGAATGTTCTTTCGTGCAGTCCAGTAATTCGAACTAAGTGTCATAATCCAGAGAACGTCTATGTTTGATCATGTGTGATCCACTATTTAGGAGCTTACGATCCTACACATCGAGGAGTTTGATCTATAAAAAAAATGAAAGATTAGATGAAGAAGGTTTCTGTAAAGATGAATATTCTTACATTCAAACGTGGATGTCTGAACTGTGTAAGAATGCCATAGTCATGTCCAAAAAAAGTCTTTATATAAAGAACTAAAGCCTTAAAATCTCTTTTGATTTATGGGAATAACTAATGGTAAGGTAGAACACTATGTTAGAACACTGTTGTCTCATTTGTTTAGAGTCAATTACGCAGGTAATGTAATTGTATTACAGGCAGTTTTATTAGGATGCTTGAAAGTGCAGTGTGTCTTGTCCACAATTATGCACCAAGACAGAAATATAGCATTTCTCTTTATTGTGTACTAAGTGCAATAGCAATTTTTTGACAGAAGTGTTGAAAGAAATCAAAACAATTTCCTTTTCTGCAATATTATATAAATTGCATTAAAGTTTGACAACCACAATGAATAGAAACACACTGCAAAGAGGCAAGTTGCACAAAGCCACCTTGACAAATGATACAAGTGACCAGCCACACTGTCCCCAAGGAAGCAAAGCTTTCAAATGAGTCACATGCATAAAGTGTGTTCTTCTTCAGAGCACAGTACTGTAGCTAGAACTGCAGTATCACTTCACAAACAGAAAAATGCTGATGTCTGTATCCCCAATATCCTTCTCAGATCTATGCTGGGACGTCTCTTCTTCTTTCGTACTCCGCAAATTTTTATTCCATGATCCACTGTTATAAAGAATCTAAGAAACTGTGTCCAGCTGGTGAATCAGACAAGTACTTCTCTTTAATTCACTGGCATTTGTTTTCGTTTTCCCTTCACTATATGCTTAACTTATCACTTTGTGATAAGTGGAGTAGGAGTATTCCAAAGACTTAAGAAACATCCTTAATAACTCCTCCATGAAAAATTGCTGAACTTGCAGTGATTACCTTTCAAACACAGTAAGCACCAATATCACCTGCTGACATGAGGAATATTGCAAAAGACAGCCAAATTCCACACCCAACATACTGCTGGAAGGACACAATCAGCTTCTATAGCACAAATGCCTCCCTTTGGAGGAAAAAAAAAAGAGGGTCAAAAAATCAGAAAAATCTAAAGGCACAAGTCACATTGATACACTTTAAAAGCAGGGATTAAAAAAAATACGGGATAACCCCTTCTTTGGGAGCATGTGCAAGTGTTTACAGAACACTGCTGCCAGCGTGCACCTGTGAGCAACGGGAGAGAGAGGAGAGGAGTGGAGTCAGGTGAGGAAACACACCCTTTGCAAAGCTTAGCATACAGCCCCTATGCCTCAGACATGCTCTGTATACCTCTTCATAACCCAACAAGAAGGTGACAAGGATCCCAAACAATATTCACCAAGCATGTCTTTGCTTTGCAACTCCTCCCCCTCTCTCCCTGACTGAAATTTCCTCAACCTTTACCACAGCATTCACACCCAAGCAGTTTTCCTTTTCTGTCACACTGCTGACAACATTTGAAGGTTAAGGCCTCTTTCTTTGGTTATATTGCTATCTGAAATTAAGATATTGCAGGTAAAACAAAGAAGTCAATACACTATTGTATCTGCAGATCAATGCATATG